AGATAGATAGATAGATAGATAGATAGATAGATAGATAGATAGATAGATAGATAGATAGATAGATAGATAGATAGATAGATAGATAGATGTAATTAACCTATATAAACAATGACTGCATGGCATACCCGCTGTATTCACCGACATCAGCAACTTCTCAGTAGAAGGAGATGTTACACTCTACCCCTCCAATCATACGTATCATGGAGGAGAGGGGAGGACTGGCGGTAATAGTATCCGTTCAGTTAACTATATCAGGCAGAGAAAACTTCAGTTATAACTTAAATTGTTTTTGCATGAATGGGTCAAAAGCCATTCCGTGCAGCCCTCCACATCAAGGACAGCAGATCACATTAAACACATCATGTTACAACTTGTTTGCTGCTTGATGCAAAAGAACAACTCGACCTGTTGTCATTTTCCATTGTTAATCTATAAGAAAAGTGTTTTACGTACTTTACTCCGATTTGGGGTTTCTGGATACACGCAGTTTGTTGCCAGTGAGTGCCATGCAGTCTTTGCATGCACAGTTATGGGGACTGTGATAACCAGCTGGGTTCAGATCAAGCTTTTTCATACCGTCATGCGGTCCGGATATTATACAGCAGTAGTCCTATTAGGAATTTCCAAAAGCAACGTTACTTTGCAATATAGCTTTGATTTTTTGAAATTCCAGTGATTGGATTCGCTGAGCATGGAAGAATTTCGTAAAAAAGAAAGTTTTGCGAAAAACATTTTTACTCTGTCATAGGAAACAAAACTTGGTAAGCTTCTTTTCAAGATTATCCAGTAGCCTATACAGTATGTTAAAAAATATTTTTAAAGTTTACCGCTTCTGCTTTTGCATGAGCTCTGCATGCGGATTCCAAGCCAATCGTAACCATTTTCATATTCGCTGTTTAAATAAGGCATAGATGGGCTTGTGAAAAATGTATTAACTCCTTTTTGCTTTATAAATATCACAATATTTATCGCAGACAAATCACATCGGTATATCTGGTATATCATCCAACCCTAGTCTGTTAAAGTTCATCTGATAAATCATGCTTAAAATACTCTTGTGCTACATTGTTGTTGTTGTTTCTTGTGCTACATTTTCAGAGATTAAGATGAAAAAATAAAATCGTTTCTTGTTGCAGATTGAATAGGCCAACAATAGCATTTACTTTATTTGTTGAATCCAAAAAGATATTTATTGAAAATACGGAGAATGGTTTTTACATGGCTACTGTAACGAAGCATGATGAAATGAGCAAAGACATCGTTCATGTTTTTCATATTAGTGCATCTGGATGTTTGATGGAGCGGGTCATTTGCCGTACCACATCTAAGGACACCTGTGGAGTCACAGTGACTGGGCACTTAATTAGTATCAACGGGTAAAATGAAGAATATCGTGTCAGTTTTATTTCAGCCTTTGTTATAGCTTACATTCCTCTTGATTTCAGTTATTTGTAGTTTCCGATTGTTGATTGTTGTAGCGCAATTCTTATCTTTGTCGCTAGATGGAGACATATCATAAGAAATCCCAGATTTGTCCCATTTTTTAAATTAATGTATTTTCAGAAGTGTTTTATACTAAGAAATGAATTAAACAGCTTTTTTCTATACCAGTTGGCTACTGCATTTGATTCTACTGAATCGACAGGAATTACGTAACATTGGGTTTTATGTTTTTCCATTTACAAATTATAAATTGTTCGCTTCTGTTTTCTCTGCATCGTATCTGATAACTACATTTTCAGGCCCTTTAATCTGTGTCTGCAGAAGCAGACGAGGCTTGGCCGCCATCCCGAAGTTGTATTGTTGTAGAGCGACCGGGCGCTCTTGTCTTACTGGACGTTTCAGCTGCTTTTAGGGCACCGTCGCTTGTTGCATTCCGTCACACAAGGCGGCACTTTTCTGGTCCGCGGAGGCGTGACCGGTTCATTCTGAAACCTGTTGCGGTTTGTGATCGGAATACGTTTCTATGGCAAACATCGTTTCCTCCTCTGAGGTCCTCGCGACGAGCCTTTTGTTAGACTTTTAATAAAGAAATGAAGAAGTGCTCAATTAAACAAAGTACCCGGCTGTCCTCCTCCCCTTAACTGCAACTGACACATCTTTCTGCCCTCAGGACGAAGCCTGACCCCATAATGGCGTATAGATTACGTCTGTTCCTAATGATTCTTCTTGTTTCCGTTTTTTAAATTGAAAAATACATTTTTAAGTTGACTTTTCATTGCCCCAACGTCAGAAAGTGGCTACACAGATCTGCTTAGATATGCTTGTTTTCACAAGACATGTGTTGTGTTACAAACTAAAATAAGTTTGATAACATCTGTGTAATCATTAAGAAAAGGGAAATGAGCTTGAAAGTAGATTCTGAAGCATATGAACCTCAAAGGTTTCATTTACTTGTTCGTTGTGCAAGAAAAAGATAAAGTTATATGTTACAAATGTGCAGCAGTCACCACTGTAATATTCAAACATCTTCTGTGAACCTTTTTTCTCTGAATAAGTTCCTCCTCTTTTGGCGTTTGTGTGTGCGTGTGTGTGCGTGTGTGTACGCATGCGTGTGCTCACACCCTTGTGTGACTTCAAGCCACACAGCAGTTCTGAAACTAAAACTTCTGGCTGATGAAGTGCTGCAGGACTTGGAATGAACCAGAGAAAATTTGAAAGAAATATTACACAACGAGACATAAAACTCGGAACATCTGAGGTGGCGCCTTCAATGTAACCATGAGAAAGCAGTTTAATCTCCTAAAACAGCTTGGATCACTGGGAAAGTAAGTCACATTTATTTGGTAACATCAGAATTGGATTCAATTTCAATGAAAATCACACCTTTTTGAGGGGGTGAGGTTGAAATGAGGGACTTGTTTGAATACTGCATTTTGGGGGCTGAGTTGGCAGTTCAGATGTGCTTTGCAGTGTTGCCGTGGCGATCAGGATCTGTCCAGCCAAAGCTCGGATGTGTCCCTGTGTGCAAGGCGCAGCACTGGAATCCTCAAGCGCTGGTATTCTACCCACAGACAGCAGGGGTGCTCTTGTTTATGGGGTTGTGGGTGTTGCGGGGCCTCATCCGCGGCAGCTGTATCGGGGTCGAGGCCACATGTCAGCTGCAGAACAGCCCAACCGCAAGCGCCAGTGCGGCGGTCCGGAGCTCGGTCTGTACACAGCCGCCACTCGACAAGCTTGTCGATTCGAAGTAGCTAAAGAGCCCCGTTCAAACTATTTTTCTGTCCAAGCATGTGGGAGTCATTTGTGCAAAGAGATGGAAGGGACGGTGAAACGTTATTCAGCGAATCAAATACACTGTTGGAAGCACAGCTCTTGTGTCTTTTTTTTTTCCTGAGGTCTATTATAGGCACTTGGAGGGACTTTTGTTTAGAGTCAGCAGCACAACAAAAGGCTTTTTTTTTAGCTTTTGCGTAGGTATCTGTGGCCCAGGGGTTGGCTGTTATTGAGAGCACCAACCCTCCCCCAGCAGCAGCACCTTTCACCTCTGCTCCAGAACTAGCGTGGTCTGTCGTGCACTTCAGCCCTTTTGCAGCAGAGTGCAAATCTATGTGCCCGAGGCCTTTCTGTGCCATGGCTGCAAACCAAACCCTTAAATGTATTTGCGACTCTGAGCTGGAGGCCCCCGGTGCATGAAACAGCAGCCGGGCTCCGGGCTCAAGCATCATTCGAAAGAGTTGCGACAACGTGGGGGCTTCTTCGGGAGGGGTGTATACAAAGGATGCGTTTCTACAAAAGGTCCCGATACACCATATACACATCAATACACGCGGTGGAGGGATTTGCCCCAAATGGACTCCTCCACTTTTGTATGGCCTTTCATGCTCTTGAAGTTGCGTTGTCCGAACTTGCAGCCCTTAGGTCATAAGTGTTCAGTGTGTCTGCACAGGTCTATAAATACAGAGATGCATGGTGCATGCTGACTCTCACCTCGAGCTCATTTCCTCTAATGACCTCTAACCGCAGAGTAATGGTCACAACTCCAAACTTTTTGTAGATCTCAATAAACACTTAGTACACTGAGATCCCTCCGTGTCCTCTCCTGTTGCTACCTACTGTTACATGTTCTTTGTATTTGTAGCAGTATTAGAAGCATAATCTGTGTAACTGCGTAGCTAAAGGAGAAGAATGGAGGTATCTGCATAAAGATGTTTAACGTTTATAATGAAGGTAACCAAGCACTGCGGGATAGTTACTCAGATCATTGTTTGTGTTACTGCATTTAAATTTGCTTATAAATGGTTTGGAGCGCACCGAACTCCGCTGAATGCCCTGAGGAAGATTAACGTAATTGATTTATGAAGAGTTGTTTGGCTATAGAACTTTTCTTTTTCTAGGACGCAAGATGCTACTGATCTACTCACAGAGGACCTGGTGCTGGTGAGTTAGTGTCTCCTGCAGGTCATGGGACCTTTGCTGCTCCCGTCACGTGATGGGCGCAGTTCTCCGAGGCGTCCGTCACTCTCAGGTGTCCTTGCAGGTGGAGCAGAGAGTTGAGCCAACCAAGAAGGCTGCCCAGATCATTCACAAGAAGCTGTCCGCTTGCCTGCAGAGCCAGTCGGGGTTAGACGCGGAGAAGCGCACGGTAACCGCGGAGATGTCCCTCTGTTTCATCAGTTGTGGTGCTGTGTGCAGTGCGTAGTTGGAAAGGCACTTGAGTCATAGCTTTTTGCTCGCTCCTGTCAGAAAAAACTCCCGTTGATGATGCTGTCCATGAGCATGGCAGAGAGCCTGAAGGACTTCGATGGAGACTCACCAATAAGGTGAGAGTGAAGGGGAAGTGTGACCCCCCCCCCCCCCCCCCCTGTGTCATACGCACCTTATTGGCCAGAGGTTTTTGGGCTCCTCGCCTGATTGGCCTTGTGGTCCCGCTCATCCCTTTGTCCCCCGGGTCCTGCAGGAGGGTTCTGGAAATGTGCTGCTTCATGCAAACTCTCCTGGCGAAGACGCTGGCTGACTTCGAGGTGCAGCTGGAGAAGGAAGTCCTGGAGCCGCTCAACAAACTCAGCGAGGTCACATCACCCGTAATCCCCCTCACAGCGGACTTGTATTTAGAGTTACCTCATTAAATGGTCTTAAGATTCTTTTTATTCATCTGGTTCGAAATAAACAGCTCAGCAAAGTACAGCTAACATGAATAATAGCAGAACAGCTCTATAGTTTGACTTGGATTGAGTAAATTTAAACATTAATTACTGGGTTAGCGTGTAGTCATTGCTTTTCAGAAAGTAGGAATATATCTAAGAATAAACTGAGACTGTAATGTCGAATTGCCCGTTTGAAATATATGTTTGAGATTCTATGTGTTTTCACATGTTGCTTATTTATATAGCTTGAAAAATATCCTGAAAGCTGCCAGTGTACATCTTCACAGGCGCCTCAGGCCTGATCCTTAGCATTTGTACCTACCCACAGTGCACTGCATGAAAATGAACACCAGGTCCTTTTTGCTCACAGGAGGACCTACCCGAAATTCTCAAGAACAAGAAACAGTTTGCCAAGCTGACCACGGACTGGCTCAACGCCCGCGGCAGGTAGGGGGAGGGGCCCACAAGCACAAGCCACAAATCCGCTGTCAGTTTGGCAGCTTTCCGGCATGCCACCGTCACATCGTGTCGCAGAGACTATCACCTCCTGCCCCTTCACCCATATCCCTGTCTCCACCCACCCTCCAGATCCCAGGCCAGCTCGGGTCCGCAGGCCAAGCAGGACGGCCTCAAGGAGGAGGTTGAGGAGGCCTGGAGGAAGCTGGAGAGCGCCAAGGTGTCAGTCTCCGACTTCGTTGGCCACTCACGTCGCCGGTCATGTGACTGGCGCTAGGCATTGGGTACCTTACAGTGGCACCATCTGTCGCCATGGCAACAGGTGGGGGGTGGGCGGGAGACAGAGATGGCCTTCCTGAGCTTGTGTACAGTGTGTATCCAACCTGAATTCTGTTTGATACTTTGAGATTAAACAACGTAGACAGGAGAATGACACAGGCAGTCGTGGTGGAGGTACGGTCCTCAGAGACGTCTGTGTCGTTACAGGACCAGTACTCTGCTGACTTGTACCACTTCAGCACCAAACAGGACGAATACAGCAGCTATTTCACCCGCGTGAGTCCACCCCCCCCACCTCCTAACCCTGCCCCACCCTCCCCCTTCGTTTCCACGCGGTGATGTGTGGTCACTGAGTGCCATCTGCTTTGTTGGTCCTTGAAGCTGCTGGAGTTACAAGCCGATTATCATCAGAAGTCTCTTTCCTTTCTGGAGCGGAACCTTACAGAGCTGAAGGAGAACCACAGCCAATCAGGTTCAGCCGAGTGCGCGCGTGCGCGTGTGAGTGTGCATGTGCATGAATGCATATGTAGGCGTGTGTGGGTGCGTGTGTGAACCTGTCAGCGGATGTGTACATGTCACTGTCCGCACGTACCTGGCCCGTCTGCGCTACATACGGTGGTGCCACGTGCCGCGTCCGTGGTCCGCATGCACAGCACCTGACTCCCCCCCACCCCCCGTCCTCGCACCCACAGGCCCCCTTCTGAGCGGCTCCTTCAAACCCGTGTACGGCCAGCCGCTGCTCTCCCACCTGCTGGACAGTGGCCGAGAGATCGCAGCCCCCATTCAGGAGTGTATCCACATGCTACTGAACACAGGCATGCAGGAGGAGGTGAGGCAAGGCCGGTGGGGGGGGGCGGGGGGCGGATACCCACGGTCTCTGACCGTCTGCTTTCCACTTTCAGTTCCATCTGGTGCAGTTTCATTTCAGTGTGATTTATTGACATCAGATTGTGTATAAGGACAGAAGAAGAATCAAACATTATACAATATATATATATATAGGTTATGGTGTTAAGAGTCACAGTACTGAGGCGGCACTGGGCATGCTAACGCAACCGCTAATGCTGTTGCTGCTAATGCTATCGCTAATTCTGTCATTGACAATGACAACCATACTGTGGCTGTATTCGATATGTCCACTCACCCACTACGTAGTCCAGTACATAGTGAATCAGGCCATTTCGTAGTGCTGTTGGAATTCTCCACTGTAAACTTCATTTACTATATAGTGCTCTACAAAATTGGTGCGAGGCACACCAAAATAGTTCAGAAGTTGTAACCAGCATCAGTCGCCTTAGACCATGACGACCTGTCACGTGAGTATCGGAACCATGTGTGACAAACTTTGCTCAGACTGTAACCGTTAATTGTTGCTAAGTAAGTGGCTTCTAAACCATTTGCATGTGCGCTATGACAGTGCCAGGGCTACTGCTGCTTTAAAGGCAAACGGTTATTTTAATGTATTTGATTGCTTTACATGGGTAACGTTAATTCACATTTAATACAGTATATTGATGTTCATAGTATAAAACACCGTAGTTAAAGTTGCAGCCCTTGTCCTGCTTGGTAGGTAGGTACAGTGCAGTATGTGGTAAACGAAGTTTCATGTGACTTGTGTGGTAAAATTTTGTTTTATTTTTATTTCCACGTTGTGGAGAGAAATGTCAATTACCGCGACGTACTTATCCAAAAATAGCAACCTTGGTGTCCAGGGTCACCAACTGTGCTCAGCTGGCTGGAGTGAGATAATCAATTTCTAGACAAGGCTGCGCAAACATGCACACGCATTTATATGTATGTAACAGTTTTATTAATTTGTAAATAGTCTGTAGTGTTTGCAAACCGCTCCAACAATTTCGATGTAGCTAATTTTAGGTTTACAATGGAATAATATAGATTTGCCATAAGATTTCTTGCTAGAGCGCGAGAGTCTGAAAGCATGATTGTCACACCAGATGCATGAGAATTGGCAACCGTGAGTGTCCGTGTTGTGGTGTGATGCCTTTTTATTACAATAAAGAACAACAGGCATAAACATTAACACAAAATTTACAATAAAGAAAAACAGTGCATTTTTTAACATAATAGTTTAACGCTAAAGGGGATGTCCTGGCGTTTGTTTATGCGACAGATAGCAACGAATAATTATTTAGCAGCATGATGTCCACCTAGTGTCTGAAATATATCAACCACTGTTTGATTTAATCCCCTAGTGAGAGTTATGTAGCGAGCACTATATAGTGAGCGAGTGAGCAAGCGGACAGTTCGGACACAGCCAATGTTTGTCTTTCTCTCACCCCTCTGCCATCATTTCAGGGTCTCTTCCGACTGGCGGCGGCGGCCTCTGTGGTAAAGAGGCTGAAACACAGCCTGGACGGCGGCAGTGTGGACCACAGTGAATTCAGCTCTGACCCCCACGCCGTGGCAGGTGGGAGCAGGGGGACGTGGGCTAAGTGGTGTTTAATTGTGCTCTTTTGGTCACAGTTATGTAAGGAAAGTATGATCAGGAAGAGATAGACTGCCATTATCAGGAAGCAAATTTAGGGCTTGTTACAACACATTATGTAATAACTCGACAAAATTTAACAAATTTTCATCACGCAAAGCGATATTATTACATACATACACTGTGTAACAATGCATTATGTAAAAACGTCACAAAATGTAACAAATTTATAGACTACATTACACTTTTATATTGCAACGTTACCCTATTATTATTATCATCATCATACAATTTGTTTCATTCTGTTGAGTTATTACACAGTGCAGCATTATTATATGTTGTTACAGAGCTCTAGTCACTTTTAGACCGTCTCCCTTCCTCATCCGATGTGTTGTAACATCTTTGTGTTTCACAGGGGCCTTGAAGTCATATCTCAGGGAGCTACCTGAGCCACTCATGACCTTTGATCTTTATGATGAGTGGTTCAAAGCAGTCAGGTAAGGTGCTGATTGGCTGGGACGCACACAGCCAGTGGATGGACCATCAGAATGAGAAATGTTTTTGTTTTTACTCCCCTTTCTCCCCCCCCCAGTGAAAGGGAGCTTTCGGACCGGGTGGGGAGGCTAAGGGAGGTACTGAGGAAGCTTCCTGCGGAGAACTACAACAACCTTCGGTCAGTGGGTGCCCGTCCTGCCCTCCTCCGCGTGCGCTGACATTGGGGATGTCCATAGCCCTGAACCTCTACTCCTTTCCCCCATCTCCCTCCTCCTCCTGCTTCAGGTACCTGATTCAGTTTCTGGCCCGCCTGTCGGAGCAGCAGGCCGTGAACAAAATGACCCCCAGTAACGTCGCCATCGTGTTGGGGCCCAACCTGCTATGGCCCAAGATGGAGGGGTGGGTCCGGGGCAGGGGTTAACGTTTCTGTTTCTGTGCTGTGTTTTACACACCCAGAGCTCATTCTCTGGGCCAACAATATCACCCAGTTCTGTCATATGCTCTCATGTAGTAGATGCCTTGATCAAAAGCAACATAGAGTGGAGAGAGTTATGGTCAGAGAGTCCCTAGAGCAGCTGAGGTTAAGGGTTTACTCAACCGACTGTCTGCCGATCATGGGATTTGAACGAGAGGGTTGCCAGCTCTCCCGCATCTGGCGTGACGCTCACGCTTTCAGAAATCTGTATCATTCCATTATAAACCTAAAATTAGCTGCATCAAATGCGTTGGGGTAGTTTGTAACCCCTACAGACTATTTGCAAGGTAATAAAACTGTTACATACATGTAAGTCAGAGTGCAGACCTGTCTCGAATTGAAAATTTCATGCCAGTCAGCTGACCAAAGTTGGCAACCCTGGAAGTAGTGACTTTCCGATCACAGGTAGTAACGCGCTTTGCCCCACGCTGGCCCAGCTAAGTAGAGCTGACTGTTTAAGGCTCTAAACACAGGATTTATTAGCTGATTTGAGCATTTCTGTTTGTCGAAGTATCATTGTAATTTCCATCAATAAAGCTTGTATTGACTGATTATGATAATAATGACTGAATCCTCCTGCTCCCCTTTTAGGGAGAATGTGACCTTTGACATGGCATCGGCCTCCTCTGTCCAGGTGGTTTCTGTGATAGAGCCGCTGATACAGCATGCCGGCAGCCTGTTCCCTGAAGGTATCGCATCCCTGCACGCTTTCTATCTGCAGCTCTCTGACCGCCAGCGTGCCTTACCTCCTCTCACTTCTCTTTCTTTCTCTCCCTTTCTAGAGGTGGACTTTAAGGTTCCTGAGCTTCCGGGGAATTCCGATCTGACTTCCTCACAGTCCCTGCCCTGTGTTGCAGATCCACACTCTTGCACAGACCCTAGTATAACACCTCTTGCTGACAGGTACTGAATATTTTTGGGCGTGCACCCCAAGGTGTTTGAGACATAACATGAGATTGGTTCATTTCGAACACAGCCATAGTATGGTTGTTGGCATAATCAGCGATAGAATGAATCATAGCATTAGTGACAACAGTATTAGCCATAGCAGTAGCATTGACATTATTAGCGATAACATTAGCATTGACAGTATTAGTGATAGCATTAGCATTGACAGTATTAGCGATAACATTAGCATTGACAGTATTAGCGATAACATTAGCATTGACAATATTAGCGTTAGCATTAGCGATGACAATATTAGCGGCAGTATTAGCAAAGATAGTGACAGACCAGTGTGTCAGTATATGTCTTGCCTATTCTCTCTCTCTCTCTCTCTCTCTCTCTCTGTTTAGCCCATCATTGTCACAAAACATCTCTGAAGCACTCTCCCAATTGGGCTCCATGGGTAACAGCTCTTCCTCAGACTCCAAGAGCAGGCATCCTGTGCTGACCAGTCACCAATCCCCCGCCGCCAGCTCTGGCTCACACGGACCCCCCAACCATCAAGCAGCAGCGCCGCCCAAAGGTCGACCGCATACCGCCACTGCACGCGCCTTCCGCAGTTTTGCGACACGATTACTTAGGTTTCGGTGGGTTTGACACAACCAGTGTTTTTCAGCATACGAAAGGGCACTTTCCCGAGGTGTCACTCATGTCAGCGTGGGGGGGTGGGGGTGGGGGATGCTTTTATGTCTAGGGAAAGGACACATAACAAAGAGACTCATATTTGGACCAAAAATATTCAACAAGGACATTTGACTTAACAAATAAATCAGTCTGAAACACAGAAAGAGGAACTTTGTTTTAAGAGTAGTTTATGCCACATAATTTTTAACTGTTGTAATAATACCAGTCTTATTAGGTTTTATTAGGTTCTTGCTTTGTTAGACGTTTTTGTGTAGCTCCTGTTCCAATACTGCTCATACTTATACCTGGACATTCAATGGAAGCTCAGCCTAACTGCTATTTGCCTCAGTTTGCTTCGGACAAAAGCTACGCCAAATACAGCACCGCGCAAAGGTTTGCACACGCCAAGCCACCTAGAAAGGAGAGTGATGGTGTCGAATAACATGACCAGGTCCCCTGACCTAAACACAGTAGAAATGGGGTGTTTCTCAAAAAGTGTACTTGTCTGTACTTGTGTTCTCGTGTACCCGTTTTACGTCATCGTCCATTGCCGAAGACCAGTTCCAGTACTCAAGTACAGAGGTACAGAAGACAGTAAAAATCTCTGGATGTCGATTTTGCTCTGCCCCAAATATCGGTTGCATCCTCGCCAAATGAGACCAGTCCCTTAATTCATTGCACCAAACCGGTCTTGCCAAGACCACAAGTACCATCTTTGCTTTCTTGATACTGAGAAACACACATGGCTTTGGAGGAGTTTGACCAGAGAGTGAACACAAAGCGGCCAATGAGAGCTCAGCATATGTGGGACCTCCTTCAGGACAGCTGGAAAAGCATCCCAGGAGGCCACCTCATGAAAACGGGTAATAGGAAAATATAGGGTCAGTCAGTCCCTGGAGCAACTGGGGTTACAGGCCTTGTTCAAGGGCCCAGTGGTGGGATCACTCTGCCGACCCAGGGATTTGAACCAGCAACCTTCTGAGTTCCAACCCACAGACCTGCCCCCCAGTATTTTTTTGCTTGTTTAAAACTTTTCTGGTCAGTGCACAATCCCATATATGTTATTTTATAGTTTTATGTCTTTTAATCATTGTAAAATGTAGAGAATAGTTCAAATAAACCTTCCAATAGGTGTGTCCAAACTTTTGACTACCATGTTGTGTTTGTCTTTCTCTATCTAACACAGCTTGGAGACCCAGTGTGCAACAGAAACCGTTTTTCCAACCCAGAGAGGCTCCAAAGGGGAACGATGACTTCTGCAAACCCTCGGGTCGGTCACTTCCGCCTGCCCAGGGGGAGGCGCCGTTGTTACCGACGATGTCCTGTGACCATCTGAGCAGGAAGCCGCCTGTCAAAAAGGGCACGGTGAAATGCCCCAGCTTCCCGCCTCCGAACCCTCCCCAGCTGATCAACAAGCACCTTAGCTTCCTCGGCTAGTGACCTGGGACCGTCACGGGCTTCGTAAGCTGAGGGTCCCTCCGCCCTCGTGCACATTACGCCCTTCGTGCTGTTTTCCGCTAAACGTGGGAAATGACCCCAGCAGAAAATACACATCTGTGTTTGTCAGAAGCGTTTTATTATCATACTGTATGATGAGGATATTATTTGTGAGTGTGCCAGTTACACTCTGGTTTTGTACATTTTCCCTTGTGTTCCTATGCCAGCTAGTTCCCTCATAATCCGTTACCATACTGTATGCATGGAGGAAACTCTGTGTCTGTGTGAAAAGCTTTGCAGTTATAATTGTGCCTAATCTTTCATATAACTTGCTTGCAGTTTGCTTCTTCTATGCATTACATTTCCGCGTGCAGTATATTTCTTGCGGTGAGCACAAAGATACTAGCGAAAACAATACAATGACTCATCTAAAGGCTAAATTCACCGCAGCTGAATTACTCTTTTCTTTTTAATGGTACTTCGTCTGCTATTTCTTCTGTAGTCTTGCAGGTGTAAGAGCAGCTAATCTCCCCAGTAATTTACAGAAAGAGCCACAAATCCATCTAAATATGCTCTTAAATTTGACGATCTGTTAATCTTTCAAGACTGGATGCTACACCGTTCGCATTTGGTTTCTGATGTTCTAAAAGCAGGTGGTTTCCTGTTTGCATTAATGCTGTGTGACGTATTGGATTAAAATAGCGGGAACTGAAAGTACCTGTTTTCTAAAAAATAAAGGCAGCTGTAAATGATCCAGAATGGTGAAATGAAACAGTCTGGGAAAGCTTGCTTATTCACAATGACTCGCATGTACAGAAGGCTGCTTTCACAAATACTGCTTGTCTGTTAATTTCAGTCCATTTCCTACAACCTTTACAAAGTTCCAGCTCTGAATATTTCTGGGTGAAATAAACAATCTGTGTTTTACGTGCCACTTGTTAACCTGAGCAATCTGAGAAAAGTCAGTACGGTTTCCATTGACATGGAGGTGAAGGCAACATGGCTCAAAGCGAATGTGACAGTTCAGGAAGGGTGCATGTGTGGTTGGCACAGTGGCTTAGTGACTATCACTGTGGCCTGACACCTTAAGGTGTACATACACCGAGATGAATTTCTATCTCTCGATGATGCATGTGCCCTGTAACAGGTTAGCAGCCTTTCTAGGTCGTCCCCTGCATCACATTCAGGAATAGACTCCTGATTCATCAAGATGGGTGGATAACTGCACACGTAGCAGGTGGCCTGAGGAATTGCAACGTTATAGCCCGAGCTCTTGTGCTTTCCCAGTATAGTTTTTCTAGAATGTCCTGGATTAGTTGAATAATCATCGTTTTCTAGCAGCTGAGCATGCATGTTTTTCATGTCAGCTGGGCCGTTCAGCCAGGGCATCCGAGCCACTGCCCGACAGTCTCTGGAGATATAGGCACTCTCAGAAGGATCGGAGAACAAATCCAGACAGTCTTCAGACTTTGATTTCGTCCTCCTCTTCTGGGTAGGCGTAGGGGGCTCTCTTCTGTGTGATGACTCTGGAGTCGCCACCAGGGTTGTCTTCAGTCTGTAGACATTTTAAGAGTCTGCGACCCCCATAATGATGATCCAGCACATCGGCAGCCTTTTGAAACTTCTCAGGCTCCATAGCTGGCTCCTGCCAAACAGAATGTCCCGCACCCACATCTGCCATTGCCATTTCGGGAGACCCTCCTTCCTCTAGGCACCCCTGGATGTCCGGACTCCTCCTACCATTCCAGTCCTTTAGCAGCCCCAGTTCCATTGTGGAAGCCGTCACCGCTGTGCCACTGGCAGTCGGCCTTGGAGAGACCTCAAGCTCCTCCCCCATCCAGCTGTGATTGGCCCCCAGGTCACAGGCAGGGTTGTCAATCAGCGCAAACACCTCGCTCATCAAGGAGGGTCCCAGATCCACTGTGAACGAGGTGAGTGAGTCAGAGCGCGCCAAAGGTAACCCAGCGCAGTCTGAGATGGATTCGTAGTGAAGCTCTGCGGTGTAGGTATTAGAGCTGGGAGGTGGCTCTCGGTCGGTGCGTGATGGGCGAGGCAATGTGAGAAAACCAGACTGCATACCTGCAGAAAAGCAAACATCCAGAAAGCATAAACAGATGTAAAACTGCAGTATGGCATGTGGCAAAGTGCTATATGCTATGCATAACCTAATAAGCCAAATACAATGTTCTTAAGAACATAAGAAATTTACAAACGAGAGGAAGCCATTCGGCCCATCAAGCTCAAGTAGCAAGAACTCAATTAGTAGCTGAGTTGTTAAAATCTTATCTACCTCCGATTTAAAGCAACCCAGGGTTTTAGCTTGTTCTACACTAACAGGAAGACTATTCCATACTGTAACTATAAGCTGTGTCAAGAAGTGCTTCCTCAAATCCAGTTTAAAATGTTCTCCTGCTAAGTTCCACCTATGGCCACAGGTTCTTGTATTTGAACTAATACTGAAATAACTATTTGGTAGAATAGCATCCAGACCTGTTAGAATCTTATATACCTTGATCATGTCCCCCCTTGCCTCCTTTAACCATTTACTCACAAAAAGGTACAGAAAAATATCAGGTAAATAACGTAATAAGCCTGCAGTTTCACCAACAGACCAGAAGGTGGAAGCAAAAGCTAGTGGAGTATATCCCAGCTGTCGCTTGGCAGCGAAGTGCCCTGACTACCGCCCACAGACATTCCTGTGTGCCATGACTAACACTCATTTGCTCGCATGTATTTTTTTTTCTTTGCATGGGCAGATGTTGTTAACTGGCGCACGATGAGCCGGAACAGATAATCATGATGAAAAAGAGCGTGACTAAAAAAAATAAATAAACTAAGTGAATATGAGCGGTGCAAAGGTTAGCAAATGTGTGACAGGGTGGGGGGGGGGNACCAAAATTTCCCCAAAATGTAGTAAAACCTGAAACTTCCTTACTTTTGGGGACATTTTTTCAGCTCGCCATTTGGATAACCTCAATTTTATAAAATCTGTGAATGCAATCAAAAAAGTAAAAATGTCAAAAGTCTTGGTAGGAGTTAAAGGTGTCATGATTGGGATTAGGGTTTTCCCCATAGAGATGAATGGACGGTCCCCATTTACATAGGTACACAGGTCTGTGTGAGTTATGTGCTGGGCTTCGAGCACACCACCAGAGCTATCAGCACACACTCAAAGAACACCCGGGGCTGACATAAAATAACTGACTTTATTGATTGGACATCATGGTGCACATTTAATATTTCAATCTGACTTGTACACCCATAACAATACATCAGCCATCTCTCCAGAGGTAGGTGCAGCCAAAACAACAAAGAAAACCCGAATCTAACTCTACCCGCCATAAGACTAACTTAAACCTGCACAGAAAACAAAGATAGTACTCCTCCTAACTTCCTCTCTAAACAACAAAAAAAAACAATAACATTCAACCCAACAAAAAGGGCTTCTACCTCCTTCCAGCAAACAATGACATACCATTTGATCTAATACAACAGTACAGTAAACCATATGCCAAGAACGCACACACAGGAACAACAACCCCCATATGTCCCCCGGAAAGAACCTGTAGTCCCCTCCAATCAGCATCTTGTCTTCAGGGGCCTGTACTACATAGCGGGGTTACTGGCTTATCGGGGTAACTTGTTGGGTAAATACCTGGGGGCTGGGGGGAATTCCAGGCATCCTAGCGGTCGCCTGCCTGCCCACCCCCAGAAAGAAACTTGGTGGAGATGCCTGTCCTCCAACTGTGCAGCCCCCACTGCTTCCTCATGACCCCCCCCCCCTCCCAGCCTTGGAGGTGTGTGCCTGTGACCACGTGCTTCTTTGTGGGTGGGTGTAGTAAATCAGTCCCACCAGAGCTTAGTTTGCCCTTTATGACTGGTGTACACTATCAGAAAAAAAGCACCAATTTGTACCTTTGCTTCTCACTGGGTCTGCACCCTCACGGGTCTGCCCATTGCACCCTATACCTGTAAGTAAATGTACCTTTTAAGGTACAGAATAGGCTCAAGGACATTTTTGTATCATTGGGGGTACATTAACGTCAGTTGTACCTTGGGAGTGTTCCTCAGAGTCCATATCTGTACCTAAAAGTGTACAAATTGGTACCTTTTTCTGACTGTAGGAGGGCTGGAGGGTGTGAATGTGCTAAATAAGTTTTGACTAAATATTTAGTTTTCATGACATTTTTGACACGTGTGTGTGGCATATAGAACCAATGGGACTGGTAATCAGGGCTGGACCTGAAGCAGAGTGTATGATCTAAACTTCTGTGGTAAGTTAAACAAATAAAGACAGCCATGTGACAGCTTGTTTAATTTCTCTGAGTACGATCAAAGCATGATAGCTTGACAAATCTCCATAAAGTGTCTCGATGACATATAAATACCAGTGCTGTTATAACAATCGATGTTATGTGTGAAAGGAACTGTGCTCTTTAGGTGCCCTGTCATGCAGCGCAGCCTCACCATAGGTAGAACCCGGAGAGTTGGGAAACAGCACCCTCTGCAGGCAGCCATTGGAACCGCCAAGGTTCAGCTGCGGCAGCGAGATGGCATTCTTGATGATGGGGGATATGGGCGGGGGTGGGGGAGAGAGCTCTCTGGAGCCGCACCGGGGACGGGATGGGGTCTTGCGCACGTGGCGGAGAGTGCGTGAGAAGAACCCACCAGAGCTTCCGTCACCCGCAGCCACTCCGCCATAGTTGCTAAGAAAAGACGTGTCACCAAAGACGTCGCCACCACGACCCACATGCATGGTGTGGCGGAAGTCGCCCAGCGGAGAGCTGATCATATCCACTGACAGATCACTCTTAAAGGGCCGCCTCCCCTGGGAACCAGACATCAAGCTTTTCATTCCAGGCAGTTTGCCCAAACTCATTGTTGTAACTTAGTGGGAATGCCCACACAGGAAGTGAATTTAATACCCCAGAACTATAATTCAGAGATCAATCAAATCTCATTCAATGTAACATTTCCCAATGGGATGCCTTTAACTCCAGTAAAAGGGAAAGAAATATCCCTTTGATTCTAAGTGGAAATGAAAAAATGGTGGCAAAGTGACGGCTGTTTTCGTTGGCTGAGTGGGACACGCCTCACGCGTATTCACTAGCCTTGGTCTTGCATGGGGTGAGTGAAAAACGATGGGCGCTATCTAAGTCTTTGTGCTCTTCAGGTGGTCATCCAGCAGAATCATCCAAAGGAGCTTCGGGTCCCCACTCGATGCATTTCATCACAAGAAGTCCCGCTTCAAGGTCTGTGACTGCCAGATTTATGACAGAAGCATTTTGATCACCAAGAATCCAAATGTTGATGGATGTGTGCAATCAGAGAGTCGAATCACCACTATTTCTCAGTTCAGTGCTTTTTTTGGAGATAAATCCAGTTACAATACTGATGGTGTCTGAATGAGTCTGTCTCAGTTTCTGCAGAATATAAAAACAAAATAGAAAAACAAAAGTGTTATTTCATTGTTGAACAGTAATCACACCATTGACTGATTTATACAGAACTAAAAATGTGCTTGGAATAGATGCACATTTTCCTATAATATACAGTCTTCAAAAAAACAATCTATTAGAGTCCAATACTTGGACTTGTTCTGGTTTTAAGCACCCATTGATGTGTTTGGACGCTCGCGGGAACATTCCAGGAAACATTTTTCTTAGAAATACCAGATAAATTTCAAGAACCCAGCAGAAGGTTTTAAAGCAACACATGCGGTAGACTGTGCATTAAAATAACTTCAGCGTCAAGAGGCTTCCTCCACTCCTGGAAATGCGTGTTTACGTTCTCATTCAGCAGTGCTTGTTTCAGCTAAGAAAACACACAACACAAAAGTTGTTTACTAATTCTAATGGATTATAATCTAATACTATGTTAAGGATTTGTTCCACACTGAAGATTTGTGCATAATCATTATACACACACATATGAATCAGATGATTATAAATTAGGTACAAAATACTCCCAACCTGATCAGATATCGGATGACAGAGAGGCCGTGTCGTTTTCATTCCCGGTGGGGTCATTTTGTGGAAGACTCTTCAGAGACTGGTGAAGTGCTGATTCCGTCCCATGACTGGTCTGCAGAGCCTATTGTACATGCATCAGACAACCTGGTGTATTTCTCTCTGCTCTCTTTCTTCCACTCCTCTGCTCCACAGTTCAGCTGTGTCTGCACGCCAGATGTTTCGAGAAGCAGGTAAAAGGCAGTCAATGATCTGCAACGCGATTTGTCTGGGTCTCGAAAGAAAGGAGTCGCTCTGGGACAGGTCATTCACCAGGTTAGTCCATAATCCCTCATATCTCTCCCCCCGCGATGCCTCCTTTTGCTCTGAGCTCTTCAGTCCATTTAATCTTCTATTATCCTAAACTCCACCAATTCTGCTGCCTTCAATCACACTCATACCATGAGTCTGTCTCTGACAAGTGTCCCCTGTGGGTGGAAAAGAAAGAGAGATACTAACTGAAAAAACGAGGCAAGAGCAGAGGGTTAAATGCACCCGAGGAAACACTGACTTGTGTGGAATTGCTTCCTTGCTGTTTTGCCCATCTGTAGTCCTGAAGGGATCACCATGCCATTTAGCTATTCAATATCAAGCACTGAGGTTCAAAAGTAAACAGAATAAAATAAACTATAGCACCGTTTGTTCAAGTGTTGGATTATTACTTGTTGATTGCATAGTTTGAATTTCTTAAATAGCAACTCTGAGTTCAGAATGATATGTTTATAGATCACATTGTGTGCAAATACATTCCCTGAAAATTAACTGTTTGTTTTTGACATTGACCATGACTCTGAAGACCATCAGTTTCTATGATGGACATGTAACTTACTGATGACAGAGGAGTAAGTGGAGATGTTGACACAGCTCAGAATGCTAACATATTGTCTTGAAAGTTAAAAAAAAAAAAAAAGGCTAGTATAAGGGTGTAGCGGTGGTGAAGTGGCTAGAGGTGGTTCCTCAAACTCTAGGGTTGGGGGTCAAATCCTGCTTCTTCTGTAGCTTTGCGTCCCCCATTATGTAAAGAATGGTATTTATTTCAGCGGGCGGATATATATTCTAGTTTACTTAACTAGTAACTTCTCGCTGAGAAAAGATTCGCTTTGCTGACAAAAGCCACGAGGATGTGCTGCTGCGTGATAGAATTAATGTGTTTTCAGAAACCACAATTCTAATCAGAAAAAGTGTGAGATAATGACCGGGAATTACCTTAAGCCATTATAACTGTCAAATGAGTAACGTCATTCTCAGTTTCTGTATATTTTGTCCGGCTGCCAGCGCCTAAGTTTGGGAGTTTGAACGGAACGGTTGCTTCCTGTTGCATCAAACGTATTTATGCGGGTTGCGGGCTGATGTCATAACTTAAGCTTTCAGTGGGAACATCAAGCCCCCACGCAAAACCCGACTGAACCGTATCTAAAGTAATAACGCGTCTATGGACCATACAGTATGTCACTAGCATCCGGTTCTCTTATCATGCAAAAATGTTATTTGGAATATCTTTTTCCCGCTATTCCCCTTCCCCTAAGCATTCGTCCTTTTGACCTCATTAACTATAAACAAAACAGAACAAAATGGACAAACACTAGATAAGGAATTACTTTTGCAATCACCCAAGTCGTCTACCCTGTAACGTTCTCTCCAGAAGTGTACTGTATCGCACTTCGAGAAAAACAGAGCAAGTCTGCGCCAAAAGAATTACATTTTTATCATTCTAAATCTCTTTGCCACTCAGATTCGGTAACCCTTCCGTCGCACCGACCACCAGCTATGAGCGAGCTGTCACTGTCTGCATCTCTAATAATTTATTCTTTATATTTATATTTATATTTAAATGTATGCATTTTCTCCCTCTTTTTGTACCTCTTCCCATTACCCAATGTTTCTAAAATCCAGCAGATTCAGGTAAATAAAAATGCAGATGCGTCCCCCATCACAAAAGTCAAAAAGAACAAATACACAGAATTGGTACTCCAGAAAACTATATTAGCAATATTTTGCAGTTCATTGATTAATTTTGTTCCGTGGTCACCCGTCCTTTGCTCGGCAGGACATTTTCGGAAAAAAAAGAAAAAAAAACATTCTTTTAATCCTATTCCTGTACATTAAAGCCACTAAATCTGATAATGTTTTTAGATGATTTGGTTCCCGATTTTTTTGAGATCAGATTATTCTTCCAAACAATCCAAGTGCGCAAGCATCACCCACTATACCGACGTCACACACACACACACAAACAATGACTAACAGCCTCAAGTCATACACATACAACAAAACACGTCACATTTTTACCCATATTTTCATTTCGTAACCGCAAACCTTCTAGCCAAGTGTCATAAAGATATCCTCTATAGTATTCTACAGCTTACCAACTAGGATCAATCGGGTCTCTGCACAATTTTGTCTGCGTTAAAACAGATTTTTGCAAATGTCCTTCCAAATTAAATTAATGTCTTATTTAAGTAGCCCAATACATTAATCTTACTTGCCTGTATCCCATTCTATTTGCAGCGTCTTTTAACCACATACCCGTATCAAAACAGCCGAAATGAACTCACATTTCCAACATTTACAGGTTTATTTGAACATTACAAACAGTGGTAGGCTATCTAACTAGTCTGACGTTGCAAATTATATTTACTTGCGTTACATTAGAAGGACTGACTATAGATTAACAGCTGCTTTCAGAATGAATGTAGCTAATATATACATCATTATACTTTTTACAAAAATAAAATGATGAACATTAAAAATACGTTACAGTAATGCCAAAGCTACTAATAATAATATATTTTTTAAAGAATCTTCATGGCGACATTAATAATAATAATACATGTTGACTTAATTACCTTTTAGGAAGTGTAGCCTATATAGTCCTACATATAGATGACGATATATTCCTTGCAGCACAAAAAGTCGTACTATCCATTAACTAGAAGTTATTCCGAATGAAGGGAACCAACTGAGGAGAGCAGAGGGCGGGAGCAAAACACGTGAGCGACACTGCAGGAATCAAATGGAGAACTGAGAAAGTAAAGCTGGCGACATGCTGTTCACGTTTGATTTCAATCAGAAAGTAAAGGAAGTAACTGTACCTTGGTAACAGGGCGCGTTCTAGTAACCTTTACCGTTATGTAATTTGCGGTCCAGATTGTTTTATGGATGCATATCACTTACGTGTTTTCTTATTAAGAATATTTTATGTTTTTTTGCTCTTGGTAGTCTGGGAACCTTGAAATGAGTTAGAATTTAAACGTCCCAATAACTGCATGTTCCTACAACCTTCCAACAACACACGACGAACGGGCTGGTTGTAAAACCCCGTCCCTCGTGGGGGCAGAATCCTGCACCTGGATAAACAGCCCGTAGGAAACTCAGCGACGAGCGGAGTGTTATTCGTCAAGGTCCAGCATATGGTCAACGGCGAACTGGAAGTATGCAATGATTAGATACGTCTGGATTCTTCAGGTAATAACCGTACATGCCATAGGCCTACACACGAGTGGTCAAAAGTGTGGAAACACCCAGCGTTTTTGGCATTACGCTTGAAAAATTACTAGACAAATATTGGCGGTAATGTTTATAAACATTCAAAGAATGCTACAAATCTCATACATCGGAAGATTAAATTGGGGCAACAGTTGAACGAAGTTCTGCAATCTCTGAAAATTTGAAGTGTTTCCACAATTTTAGCCACTGGTGTATGTGTGCAGGCCCCCCAACCTAGACATTATAATTAAGTCTTCATTACTATTAAGGTCTCTTGAAAGGGCTGTATAGGTTATGCAACATCGTAGATAATCGTTGCAGTAGGCAGTCCGTTCTCCCAACAGGACATACCAACATCCCTATCCGTCCAAGTTTTAATGCGCCGGAAAAATCCACGGTAGTCTGAAAAATCTTGACTTTGAGCCCCAGTACACACACCCACACAGTTTTAATCCCCTTTTTCTACTTCTTCGTGATCCCAAGTCCACAGGAAAGTGAATTTACTGGAGAAGGTTTATGTCCCCACTAAGTGATAAGTACGCCCTTGGGCAGTGGGATAGAGCCCGATCCCTTTTTTCGGTGAGAATCCCCTCCTGTCAGCAAATCGTATAATCCGCACTGCTCCTGCCCTTCACCACAAAACAACATTTTTTCTCCTAAGTAAAAATACACTAAAACACAGAGAACTAATTCAGCTTTGACCGCGTTTTTTTTCTGGTGTACCAGCTGTGGCAGGAAGCACCCAAGTTGGCATTAACACTGCATCCAGGGAGGCTGTGCTGATCAGAAAGGGGCCGGTGACTTCTGGACAATGGGGGACGCTGTAAAGAAAATGAGCGACCGTAGTTACGAACAAGACTGGGCTTGGGAAGGGTTATTCCTGCTCCCCCTCCCCATCTGCCTGCACCCCCACCCCCCACACACACTCTCTAAATACCCCTTTTCTCCGGGTATCCTTCCTGCTCCACTCCTACCCAAGGAAAACAGCCTTTGGCTGCAGTATGGCAGTCGTCTGGCCATGAAGTCTGCAACTTTTGGACGCCACTCAAAAAATAACTCCCCATGGACAACCTCCCCCCCCTCTTTTTATGTCTAGCAGCTGCCATTCCAGTACCGCCACTGGAAACAGTGAAGCTATGCAGGTTTTCAGAGTTAGCCAGTGTGACCCCAGTGATGCACCACACCTCCCCCCTCCCCTGTTCTTTTTACGCTTCCATATTCCCCTTCCATGGGAAATTGATTCCTATGCTTGGGCAACCAGTCACCGATTCGGAAGCCAGTAGCAGAATCTGTCTTTTTCCTGTTGGTCCCCCACCTTCTGCCAGCTCTGCACGATGAATCGAGTCATGGACCGTGGAGTCATGGACCGTGGAGTCATTCTCCCGGAACGGCCTCATGGATTCAGCCTCACCTCTGCCATCGCATGAGATAAATTATGGCTCCAATTATGGCTTTTAATTGGTGTTCGCTGGAACTAAGTGACTTGGTGTTTCACCCAGCGGTGACACTGTTGTGGTAGCAGTTGAATTGTTTCGATGGGGGAAGAGAGGAATTAATTGAGGAGGAATCAGAGGTCCGTGTTGCTTGAAGAGTGGCGTGGACGACTGAAAAGCTGCCAAGGACTGGGAGTGTAGTGGGGCCTCCACGTATTTCGTCACCTTAAGGGCTGTGATTCCCACGCGCTTCTTTGCGTCTTGGCCTAGCGTATCTGCGGGCGAGTAGGTCAGGCTCTCCTTCCACGAAGCCAGGACCCCCCCCGCCTATCAGCTTCTCCCACAATTCTTCTGACCCCAGGTCACCACCGGGAGCTCAGCGCCTCTGCCTGGCGGCCGTAACCAAAGTATGTGGACCGAGGCTGCTTTCATCTAGATAAGATTCAATCGCAGATCAGCACTTTGCTTCCTGTGTGCAATAAAGGCACAATGACAGCAATCACAAGTGTGGAAAGGCTGCGCCGTCACAGAGAGCCTCCTTGTGGTCTGTGCTTAATGGATTTTTTCTTAATCTGTTTCCGTTCTTTGCAGGTGTGCCTTCACGGGGCCACAGCATTAAGCGGCTTCACAGTCCACGAAGCCGGCATGTTTTCATGCCGTCGTTATTTATTTTTTGGTTACAGCATCTCAGCTGGGGGCTCGTGGCTCTGCCGGCTGTTACTTAACAGCTTTGGAGATTTAGGATATATGGGCACTGGAGGGGAGTGGGTGTTAAATCAGGCATGTGGGGGGGGGGGTGTCAGGGGTCCGTGCTACCAGATCGGGACATCCTGGGGAACAATGGCGCAGGTCAGTCCGAGTCAGACAGGACGCATTCGAGGGAGACGCGCCGCAGGGCTGCTGTCGAGGGCTGGTCTCTCACTCCCATCTTCCCACAACCTGCCGCATTGCACTTCGCCTTGTTCTGCGCAATCGCTCAGTGGGATCTCCACACCTCCACTGCCACTCCCCCGTAGAATGTAGAATGGGGTCTCTGTCTTCGTGCTGTGCCCGGGGGGGCCAATCGGGAAGCTTGCAAGAAATTCCCGGAGGACCGCTTAGCTGTTGTGTCAGAAACAAAATGAATTGGCAGCTTTAAAACTCCACAACAATGCTTCAGCAAGTTTTCTCACACACACACACACATAAATACATGGCATGAGCATCAGTCTGATCGTCATTTCAAGCTGACTGAGCTCAGCATGCACTTGCAGGGGTGCAACAATCGCTTGCCATCGCTAATCTCTGGAAGTTTCTCAAAAGATGGATGTTAGAAATAGACCAGGCAGGGCTGAAAAAGTCAGACTACTACAGTTTAATATGCTACTTATTACTTATTTTCTTCTTGAAATGCTAATAATAAAGTTATTGGGATAATAAGATGAATGAACTGTGGCATCATTTATCAAAGTTCCACCAAAACGGAGACAGAATGGGCTGGTTCTGCGCAAATAACTCCTGGGTTGAAAATGAGTCCCGCTCCTTGCCTTGTGCTATGAGAAGGGAACCCCAACACCGAACACGTCCCCAAACAAAGATCTAGAGGCGTTTGGGACAAATCCTGAGAAACTAATTTAAAGCAAATTTAGAGTTAATATTAAAACACATAAGTTAGTCGGTGTCAACTAATGATGAAAATTTCTTCTCTGTAGTTCAACAAGTAGAGCGTTATGCTGTCAGTGGAAGGGTTGTGGGTTCACGTCCCAGGGAGCTCATATAAAATGTAATCCTTCCCTCTGCTGTAAGTCGCTATAAATAAGTGTAAAAAAGCCCATATAAGCCGACAATTTTGGAATTTCATCTGTGGAAATGTTTTAGGAGAAATGTCAGCAACGTAACAGGAACAATTAAAAAAGACCTACATGGAACGTTTTCTTTGTGATTGTTAATATATTACGATGGGAATTAAACTGACTAGTTAATCAATATATTTACACAAAATAATTATTGCATTCATGTTCCAACTGCCTTTCCTGGACAGTCTATCCCAGGCAACATAAGGCGTAGAAATACCTTGGATGGGATTTGCCAGTCTGTAATCATTTTACATGTGAGGCGTGGTCCTTCAGATGCATGCTGGGAAACAATGTTGGGCCGAGTGACCCTTCCGCTTTCCCTGTCGGCCCTTGTGCTGGATGTGGGTCGTTGGAACCAGTCTTATGGGGCTGGAACGCTAAGGCGATCAGGAAAAAAAAGTCTTCTGCCAAATGAATAAAAGAAGAGAGGAAGGGTAAAGCAGGAAAAGGTGGGGAGAAGGAGAGAGAGGATGGCAGGTCGAAGAACAAGAGAAAGAATGAGTGTCCCAGACAGAAAAAGAGCTGCATTCCAGGAAATAACACCCCACCCCCCCACACAGACACACAGACTCTCCCAGAGAGCATTGCCCCTTTTCTTACACGTTTATGACCTTGATTGGTGTGAATCTGGGACTGGCGTAAAACAAAACCTTCATTTGGTGGTGATGAGAGATGCGTTCACCAAGGCCTATGTTTATATCTGAGAACCGCGGGTAGCCTCCCAGCTTATCCCAGGCTGACTCCGCTCACGCTTCACCTCACTTTCCAAAACCGCTGCAAGATCCCAGCGTTCTTCTGATAAATCTGATAATCTGGCTGAAGAAACCCCTTGGATGACCAGTGAGACGTTTCTGCCTTAGAAGAGAGAAGCCCAGCTGCCATGATTCAACCACCAGACAGTCTCACCTGGATGACTGAGAATCTTCACATACATACAGTACTGTGCAAAAGTCTCAGGCAGGCAAAGAAAATGATGTTTAAATTATCCTCGTGTTGGTGTAAAACTATGATATTATGCCTGTCAAAGTGTGTCAGCGTAGCCATTTCAGAACCTCTGCTAAAATCACCCCAGTATTTGCAGCGACTGTCCAGTGCAGCCATGTATTTTTTGACTTGGCCACTAGCTCACCTCATACAGCGAGTCAATCTCTCACTGACTTTTTAAACCAATTCATTTAATTGAGCTGTTGGTGAAATTTAACAAAATCATGGAACGGCTGAGGTGCCCCTGAGGAGAGGTTTGGGAACTG